GACTATGTCGGGCTATGGGGCCCAGGATCTGATTCGACATTGCAGGGGCAGACATTGATTGGACACTTGACAGAGAGACTATTTTTCGACAACGTTCTTGCGACTCTGGTCTACTCCCTCGCCTCCATCTTCGTCTTGCTCCTCTTACGTCCCTTCATCCGTGGTGTACTCTCCATGCTTGTGTACAAGGAGGGACCTTTTTTCCATGTTTGCGGTTCCTCCTCTTCTCTCACATGTGTGTTGATGATGGGATGAGTCAGGTCTAAGTCAGTGAGTCATGTCATGATTTTGAGTCCTCCGCTATGCTACATTGTCTTATTTCGTGCTTGTATGTTCTCACATTGCTGTCTTGTTGATGCGTTGTGAGTCCGAGTCCATATCATCACTTTGCTGGTCCTTTGGCTCCATTGCATCACTCGGTCTGATCCGAGTATGCATCAGTGTGTGTGCGTTTGTGTGTGCCAGCATACAGCTTCTTTGTGTGTGTGTGTGTGTGTGTGTGTGTGACGCACACACACACACATCTAAAACACACACACACACACACACACACACACACACACACACACACACACACATAATGACAGACAGACGGAGACAGAGAGACAGAGAGAGGGTAATGGAGCCCTGTGGCAAGACATGGGTCTACAGTGGATCCACTCCTCATAACCGCATCATAGCTGGGTATCTTAACCCGGGATAGGTTAACCGAGGTTATGATATCAAGCTGTTACAGAGCACGCAGGAGCTGTCACGACCTAGATTGGTTGAGGGTTGCGATAAGGGACCAATCGTAGAGGGTTGCAGTATGGGTTGGTCACCATCTCAAGCACTATTTGGATATCGGTGCATGTCAAAACAGAGACCTCAAAAGTCTGGCTAGCGCCCTGCTTAGACTCATTCGTCGAGCGCACAACACATGACGAAGTGTCCTCTTGTCAAGTATGCAACGGGAAAGTTGTGTCTGGAGGGATACCGGCAGAAGTAGACAGTTCCAGACACAAAAAGAGGAAGGGAGATGTTTGATTTCAAAACTCAAATGCACTGCAGTGATTTTAATGAAAAGGAATCTAAGACAATAAAATACACAAGTACAACTGCACTGACTTTGGTTACCTTGCTGTATGTCAAAAGCAATCATCACGACTGACAATCTGAATTTCTTCTTTTTCTCCGTCCTTTCTTCTTCTTTATCCCTTTCTTCTCCCTTTTTCTTTCCTCGTCTCCTTTTTTTCATTGTCCTTATATCCTATTTTTCTTCTCTCTCTTTTTTGTTTCCCTTGTCTCCGTTCTTGTCTCTTCTTTGCAGGGGGAAATGATTCTTTTGTCGATCCTGAGCCGGTGAGGTTCTCAACGTTATTCACGACCATTCTTGTCCAGATTCCATTTCATCCCTATGATTGCATTCCCCTCTTAAATGTCACTTTGATTGGGTCACAATGTCACCCCTATTATTGCGTTCTCAACTTCTCATTTCAATATGGCTTTGCCTGGACCGCAATGTTTAGTGCCTGTGGAGTGAAGTTCCGTACCAGTAACCGAAGATAAGCCCGACAAGGAATTGTTTTGTTCAAATTTGTTGTCTTCACTGTTTGTATGAGAGACCATGGAAGAATGAACCCCTCTGACAGTTTTTCCAAGTGTCCTTTGGGATCAAAAGGATGCCATATATGAACACATAAACCTTTTCTTTTTCTTTTTCTTTTTCTTTTTCTTTTTCTTTTTTTTCTTTTGTTCTTTTTTAACACAAGGCGCCTTCTATTCTGGGGGGCAACAGTCCGGTTACTTATCGATGGCAACTGGTGGCAAACATGTTTGTACATCCAAAGAAGGGGGGAGATCAGATCAGAAAAGGGGAACAGCTAGCCCTTGTGGGATTGATCGTCTACCAAGGGGGTACCTGCGAAAGCCCCCCCCCCCACCTCCTCTCCCCCCCTTCCGAAACCGTGGTCTTTCTCCAGGGGCCACCCTGCTTGCCGGGAGGCTTACTAGCAGCACCCAGACATGCACCAGGGTGGCCCTCGGAGGGATGGGTCGCGGGGAGTGGCCTCCCCTCCAGTTCCTCAGGAGGCTTATCAAATTCCGCAGATTATTATGTCATTATAATATTATTAATTTATTATGTCATCGCTTCGTCAAGACCTATGCCTCCTTTTTTGGAAGCAGATAGTAAAACACCACAATTCTGAATTACCTAGGCTCGGCCGGTTTGGTGATGATATCTCAAGGCATGTACCCTTTTTTAAAAAGGGTAAAAAAAAAGGGTGCCTGCCTTGAGATATCATCACCAAACCGACCAAGCCTAGGTAATTCAGAATTGTACTGTTTTTTTTTTTTTTTTTTTTTTTTTTTTTTTTTTTTTTTTTATTGTACTGTTTTTTTATCTGCTTCCAGTGGAATTTGAAGTTTGAACTCAGGGCTGTACCTCAACAGCTCAAGGGTGTACCAACTGAGCTAGGCGAGCTGGTAAGACTTATGTCATTAACTTAATACCGAACAGAGTGTACGTCAGTAACTTAATACCGAAGAGAGTGTATGTTTGCAGCTAGCACGTGTTGGTAGTAGCTTTGCCCTGCATGTATGGACAGCAACTGCCGCCTCCTTTCACCAGCCTCTTTTCTGTGGACCGCTTTTGCTCCCATGTCCACACTACCGTCTTCGCCCGAATAGAACGCCCGGTCATTATAGCTGCATTTGGCCCAACTTTCAGTCCAGATGCAGCGATAATGACCGGGTGTTCTATTCAGGCGAAGACGGTAGTGCATTCACGTCCAGCCTGGTTGTGCAACATTTCCTTGGAATTTGGAAATGAAAATTATTGTAACAGTTTAACTTTGTTATTAACTGTTAGGAAAAAAAAAAAAAAAAAAAAAAAAAACTGTTAGCGACTAAGAGAAGCTAAAAAAAGAGTCAAAAGAAAAGTGTAATTGTTTGTGAAGGAAACACAATTACCCCTGATTGTTTCTCTTTTCTACACTGCTGATTCACCCTTGAGGAATGAGCGGATGATAACCCTTCCTGTGCTGCCCCCCCTGCTTCCCTTCTTCCCTTCTTCCCTCTCCTTGGCAGCCGCATATGTGTGATTTTCTTGTTCCCCTACGGACGTCTACGGTTCCTATCCTCTCCTCCCTCGTGCTCTCACCACCTCTCTTATTCTTTTCTCAGCCTTACTTCCTGCTACGGTGCTACCTTTCTTGTTTTCCTTTCAGCCTTCTGCTCAGAATCAATTTCATGATATCCTTCTAATCCCACCTCCGTGTCCTCAAGTACGCAGAGGTGGTGTACCTTGCACTTCTCATGAATACAACAATGAAACAAGTGTTTCATTAAAAAACATTGTTATTGTCAAAACCTGTGATAGTTTAAAGAAAACTGCATCCTCCACAAAGCAGTTAAAACAGCGCTCCCCCTCCTCCCTCACCACACACACACACACACACACGCACACACACAGAGTTCCTTGACCTATCCTCAGTACAGAAAAGGAGATGTGTCCTTCGCCTACAGGCTGACATGCTCATGACTCTGTTCTTGGTTTCTGCTTTGGAATGTCCGCAGTATTACGAGGCGAAAGAGCTCATGGACTCCGTTCCTTCGGTAATACCCAACTCCCTTCCCTCTCTTCGAAGCCGTGCCGCTTCAAAACATCGATCCTTTATCAATCCGTTGTCTGCCTCTAACTTGCTTTCCAGGCCTCTGGAGGTTTCGTTTCTTATATCAGGAGGCTCTTTTTTTTTCTGTTCCCTTCGAACGCAGTGCTCCAGTCTATTTGTGGGGAGCAACACGTGCTGGGAACCGGGCCCAGCGTACCAGGCGGCTTGTAGATCTACTACCGATGGTGGAGGTCATGTGCTACTTGGAGCGAAGTGTGCGGGAATGGCCAGCGTCCGTGTGTCGTGTGCGTCGAGTTTGGACACTACCACCTTGCAGGGGTGGGGCAGATATCACGTCGGGTATGGTTCTGCTTTTGAACATCGTGTCCTGGCTGTAGGGGTTAAGATACTTGGCTCTTGAGGCCGAGGTCGCCGGTTCGAATCCGTGCTTGCACGGAGGAGGGCTGAGGCCCAGAGGTACAGATCCATAGACATTGTAAATCGGAGACATGGAAAGATTGAAAGTATGAGTATATTTAGCGTCAAGGCAGACGCTAATGCAAACCATGATGTGCAACACAAATAGTCACACAGAGGACACACACTCTGCACAGTTGTGTGTAACGCGGGGAAGCGTGCTGATGAGTTGTGCACTCTTTTATGACTTGCCGGTGGAAAAGGAACCGGACTGCTGCTCCCCAGAGTAGAAGGAGCCAAGTCATTTAAAAATAAAAAATAAAAAAAAAGTCAGGGTTGCCGGCGTTCGGGACGGGCCGAACGCCCGAACCCGAATGCCCGAACGTTCGGTACCCCCTCTCGACGCGTTCGGCCGTTCGGCCGAACGCGGACCCAAAAAAAAAAACAAAAAAAAATCCAAAAAATGATAAAAATCTGAAAAATATATATGTTATGCAGAATAATAAACTAAACAACATTCCCCACAACGTTACATCCAAATTCGTTACCAAATTTGAAATGAAAATCAAATACTAAAAAAAAAAATAATAATGAAAATTAGAAAAAATAAAACGAGAATGAAATTATTGAGTGGGCGAGCACGTTTTTGACACCGCCATCTTTGACAATTTTTCATTTTTTTTTGGCTGTGACAAATGCCATGAAAATTTATATATGTGTATCTTACATAATAGAGAATCTACAAATAAAGTTTGAAAAAATAATTTTTTTTTTCATGCTCCGAAATAAAGGAAAAACAAAAAGTGAAAAGAGAGAAAAAAACAAATTAGCGAGTGGGCAAGCAAGTTTTGACACCACCATCTTTGCCGATTTTTCATTTTGTTTTGGCTGAACAGACTGGCTTCAAAATTAATAGGGAGATACCTCACATCACAAAGAACTCACAAAAAAAACACTCAGAGAAAAATAATAATATTTAGGTGCCAAAATATGTTTTTGCCTGGTCCGAACCCGTTCAGGTTCTGGGCCCCGTACGGGGACCCGAACGCCCGAACGTTCGGGGGTCAGCTTAGGGGCCTCCGTACTTTCGGCCTGGCAACCCTGAAGAAAGTAATAATTTCGAACTTTGTCGTGTATACCTTGCCCTGGATTGGCGGGGCCAGGGAGGAAAGCAGAGGAGGAGGGAGAGAAGGAGAGCTGCCTTGGAGGGGGAGAAAGTGGACGGAGGAAGATGGAGCGAAGGTGAGGCAGATCGCCGCAGATGATGGGAAAGAGAAATAAATAAGAGGCAGAGATGGCACTGAGGAGGTTTCATGTTGGCCATGTTTTTTTTTCACCTTTGGATGGTAGTTGTGCTTCCGTCCATTTGATTTTGGAGATTTTGAGATCAAATGTTCCTTTCAACTTCCTTGACGTCTTAGGAAGTTTCCCCAATCTATTTCTGGTGTGGTTGGTTGTCTTTTTCTGACTGCTGTGATTACATTTCCTTGCTCTGTCTTGTCCCCTTTCGTGCAGCCTGTGCCATCAAAGATTATCGTTTATCAAAACAGCCCGCACGCCTTTGCGCATGAAATCCAGGTAACAGATCAGTTCCAGAAAAAAAAAACTCAGCACAGAGAGAGAGAGAGAGAGAGAGAGAGAGAGAGAGAGAGAGAGAGAGAGAGAGAGAGAGAGAGAGAGAGAGAG